TTCTCTCTAGTTTTGGTGCAGCTAGAATTCCTTTTTTTTTAATGTGCGGACTAGAGCCGAACAAGGAATTGCAGTTCAAATATTTTCAGTGCTTTATCCAGTGAAAAGGGATCTCCCTGTCTCTTACAAGCATGTTGGTCTTCTCTGTGGGAATGGTAGCTCCTAACCAACGTGCTATCAACCAGTACAGTTCTGGTTTTGCCTGGAGAAAACAGAGGTAGTGTGGAAGGTTAGGCAAAATGCAGACCCTTGCGGTGCTTCTTGCTTTTCCAGCTCTGTCCTGCAGCTCTTCCAGGACTTTGGCCAGGCCAGTGGCCATGTCGATACTTGGCAGGCTTGAGATTCAGACAGCGCAGCCATCTGGTTTTTCCCCATCTAGAAGTATCCCACTGGGAGATTCAACCCAACACTCCTTTCAGAGGTATTGATAACTGCTGCCAAGTTTACAGGTGTTGTCCCAGCTTGTTGGCCATTCAGGGCAAGGGTGTCAGAACAGGGTTTGGCAGCTCGATCGTTGGCTGTGAATATACATGCCAGGAGTATGCTACTTCAGAGCAGCAAACAACAGTCTTTCTCCTGCACCACCCTGTGCTTTGCCCTGCCTGAAGCCATCCATCTCTTGTTTGATTGTGGCATTGCTTGGTATCTTTGCAGAGTAACAGCCACTGATACGCTGATAGTTTCCATCGGGCAGCATGCTCTACAGCTCAAGACTGCCTCCATCAGAGTGCTCTAGACAAAGAAGTGTTCGAAAATAGTAGGAAAAAACCCCAAAACAACCAACTTACAGCTGAGCCTCTTGTCATCACTATTCAGTTTCTCCATGTTATATTACTTCAGTCTTCAAGATGAGGTGATTGTGTATTGTTTCTCCTGTTAATGTCTATGATTTAATCACCTAGCTTACTTTTTTTGTATCTGCATGTACAGTTCAGCGTTAGCTGATGGATGTCACCATGTTTTTGTATCATATATTAATTTGGGGAATGGTAAGACAGAGAAGTGATTTCAGTAAGCTTGACAAGCATAAACAAAGGCTTTTTCCACAAGACAAATAATGTTAACTCAACCAAATCAACCTGGAAACTGATCAAAATTTTAAAAGGGTGTAATTGAGACAAAGCTTAAGGCTTAGAGAAAGCTCAATCAGACCTGGAGGAACAGTGACAATAAATATGGAAGGGAAGTAACCAATTATGTGAAGCTTCTACACTTAACTGTGATAATCAATTAACACTGTTAAATGAAGAATCAAGAGGAAATAAAGATGAACCATGAGATTTACTTGGAGTGATGCTTTCTTTGTCCTTACAGCTCTGTTCCCCGACCCAGGATCTTATCTGTCCCAGTATTCATATTTTATTATAGAGGAGCATGGAATATATAGGGCATTTCACAAGTCAGTAAAGACACTCTTGGTATCCCACACAGGGTGGTTCTGAGGACAGCAGTGTTTCTTTGTCCCTGAATCCGTTCACACCTCTCATTCTCAAGTGAACACGCAATTCTTTCCCCCAGGGCTCAGTGCGTGTTTGGTTTCTTTTATATTTTTTCTTTTATCTTCTGTCTCGGGGATTTCTGATTTTGCACCCATACGGTTGGAAAACATACTACATGCAAGCCAGATATGTGAACAAGTTGAAAGGCAGAGACAGATGGAGCCATCTCTGTGATATCTAAACAAAATACTTGGGACATGATGAAATACTAAAGCATTTGCATTAGTGTGTGAGCCTGAGCTGAAAGAACAAAAATGATGCAACAGAGTTACTCATATGTGGATTTAGAGCCTTAGTTTCTTTGCTCTTGACCTGCCGTTACTGCATGCAGAATGTCATGTGGGACTTCTAGAAGCTAATGAATCTAGGCTCCTATCTACTTGACATCAAGCAATATATTTATAAGCTGTGTGTTGTTTACGCTTGCCTAGTCTGAATTATTTTTGATCATAGTCTCTTTCACTCTTATTACTCTTTTCATATGGAAGAAGAACTGTTGTGGATCTTCATCTTTCCCCCACCAACACTGGGGACTGCCTCAAACAGTTTTACTGCTAGAAGCCTGTGCATCTAATTTGATTTTTAGTGGAAAATACATAGGGCTTCATATGTTTCAGAGTTAGCACGTGAAACCCAACCGAGAAGTGACAATGGCAGTCCAGAAAAGTAATGCAGCCTCATCATAACTATGCATGTTCTGAGCATTGCCCACAACAAACCTTAGACTGTTGCCACTCAGTCTGAAGTTTTTGCAGCTCGGTGCCTTTACTTTAGGTTATGAGGTAGTGTGTGAGAAATGGGAAACTGAGGAAGCTGTTGTTTTCTGCCTTGTGAGGCAGTCTGCCTCACTGCTACTGCTAGGAGTGATTCACGCTAGGTTTCTTATGCTTATTTTTGTTCAGAGAAGGTTTCCCTTGATACTTAATTTGTCATCTTCACTCTTCCCATAGCTGATTACTTTTATAGGTCAAAATGTTGAAGCAAAGGTCTGTAAAACACATGCATGTGTGAATTAAAATAACTTTTGAAAATGTCTGTCCTTACTCTGGGGAGATCCAATTGTTAGGTTAATCCTTTTGCTGTCTTTCATTCCAGCCTCTTCCTGGGATACTCTTGGTCCCAGGTAGTAGAGATCTTGTGAGAGGACAGCCAACCTTTTGTTAAAGCAACATCTGTGAACATACCATTGTTGGTTTTGTCATGTTTTACAATGCCATAACATCCATAACCATAATCCATAACATGCCATAACCTGTAAAATTTAGGTCTTCTTCCATTTTTATGTGGGGATTGACATCTAGTATCTTACTGATATCTCCCTCTTATGTTCATTATAGTTTAATACACCTCTGGTGGCCACAACATAATAGCAGCAAAATACCATGAAAATACTGAAAGTGGTCCTAGAAGTAGCAAGGAGCTGGGGTGCATGTTCCACCTGGGCTATCCCAGTGCCATTGGCATTGTCCAGGAGCAGTTATACCTAACATTCATGAATTCAGTAAAACTTGGAGAGTCAATGGAAGTATTTGCTGGAACCGAAGATGAGGTAGGTGTCCAGCAAGGTAGAAGGCGGTGCTGGAGGTTGGGCCACTCTGTTGAATTTGAAGCAGCAACACAGGCTACCTGTTTGCATGGTACCATTGAAGGACTGAGCCAAAAACGGTAGGATCTGTCTGGCAAGCCCACCGTGCTGGCTGTTTCTTTGCAATACTGCTAGCAGGGACGTGCTGGAATCTACATTTCTGGGGGCAGTTTTAGAATGGCTGCTGTGTTTCCTTCCCCTTTAGTCAGTAACACCACCGGGTTTGAAGCGTTCGCAAAGCGGGGGGATGCGGGCATGTGTTTCGGACCGGGGACCAGCTGCCTTTGGAGTGGGGCGCCCTGCCGTCCCCACCCCCAGGGCAGAGGGCTCGAAAGTTGCCGCAGCCGCATTCCGGGGTGGGCCCCGCGCCGTCTTCA